TTTTGGCTCAGGTCATGATCTCACAGTTGGCGAGTTTGAGCCCCATGTTGGGCTCTGTGTTGATAGTTCGGAGGCTGCTTAGGATTATCTGTCTCCCTCTCTCTCTGTCCCTCCCTCATCCCTCTTTCTCTCCCTCAAAAATAAATAAATAAGCAGTAAAAACAATAGAACCAATAACATTTAACCTATCAGATGGATCTATACTTAAACATTATAGTCCTAATGTTGGTCAGAGTTCAGAAGTATGCAGTTTCATACATTGCTGTTGTAACCTTTCTGGAGGCAAAGTTTGTATACTATTTCTCATCTATATTTGATAATATGGATCGAAAGCCTTTAAAGTAGGCAAATTCTGGGTGCCTGGGTGGCTTAGTCGGTTAAGTCCAACTTCGGGTTCGGCCCCATGCTGACAGCTCAGAGCCTGGAGTCGGCTTCGGATTCTGTGTCTGCCCCTCTTGCACTAGCACTCTGTCTCTCTGTCTCTTTCTCTCTCTGAAATAAATAAACATTAAAACAAATTTAAAGTGGGCAAATTCTTTGACCACTCCTAAGAATTCATTTGAAGGAAATAGTGAAAGATATTTATATAGGTTTTGGCTACCTATAAAAATATTGTTTAGAACTATGGTTTAAGAAGATCGGAAGCAAGTTAAATGTGCAATATTAATATAAAGGAAGAGATTAAGTAATTTATATTATACTCCATAGTATGCAATACTCTACCATCATTAAAAATGTAGAACACAAATTCATAAGTAAAGTGAGCAAGTTGAAAACCTTTCTATACAGAGTGAGCCCATCTTTGTTATGCTTATAGATAAAACATTGGAATATAATATAAAATATTAAGAATGATTAAGTCTGGGTAGAGTGGAATATTAGGTGATTTTTAGAATTTTTTTTACTTCTCTGTATTCTAAAATTTCTTCAATGAATATACATTACTTTTTTATTTAAGAAATCTGTATTTTAAGTGTTGCTTTAGTGTTGTTTGATTCCATTGAAAACATAAAAAGAAAAAAGGGGGGTGAATTTTATGTCTCTTAGGGATGAGGTATATTTGTAGAAAAGGTAAATACTGTATTCATTAAATACAAAGAGATATTTATTAAATATGAAGGATTCGATGAACCCTAACAGAAAGAACATGTGCAGTTCTGAAGGCCATGACGGTGTTGGTTTGGAACACACTAGAAAGAAGTCAGACTGGTATTGTAGCAGCTTCTGGAGACTCATCAGAGACCAGAGAAGGCATGGATACATTTTTGTTCCACAGACAACTAAATATATCCTAGTTCTATATTTATTTGTCTATAAATAAATACACTGGGGTTTGGGGGTGATAGGGGGTTCATGGGGTCTGGAGTTGAAGCCAAGAAAGAATTCTTGAGACGTCTTTGCGGCAAAAAGGTGATTTGATGAAAGCACGGGGACAGGACCTGGGGACGGGGTCCGTGGGCAGAAAGAGCAGTGCCCAGGCTGTGAAGAGTGACTGGTTTTACACCATGGAGTTGGGGGAGGTAAAGGTATCAGGGAGGCCTCCAGAAGGACTTTCATATACTAAAGGGGACTCTTAAGATACCTGAGGCCTTGCTATTGTCAAGCTAAGGTTGTTTCCCCTCTAGTCCGGCACTAACCTTACTACAGTAGGGGTTCCTGGAGGAGTGTTCTACTCTGTATTTGCCTCAAGTATTTGTCAATAGGCTGCGGGCTATAAGGAAACTTAACTTTACCAGCCATTTCCTTCTTGCCTTTGTTCACTTCTATCACTATGGAGAGGTGATGCTGGGGCTCCAGGAACAGTCTACAGGCTTCTGGAGATGAGGCTATTGATAAGATTGCCTTTTTCTCATCATTTACTAAGATATTGGTAAACTGACGGAGACCCATGTCCGCTAAGACTGTGGTCTCTGTCAGCTGGCTATTTGTTTTCCCGTTTCCTTTGTCCTTGGGCAGGCAGGAGTGCCTGCGGAGTATCGCACCCCCCCCACTTGGGGCCGGGGGTGCGTGCACTAGCTCACACTTTGTCCTCAGCCCGCCCCACGCTCCCTCATCAAAATGACTCATTTGTGTGAACCGGTCAATTGCTTGAACATAGTTATCAGCATTTCTTGACTTTTGTGCATATTAAGGTGATTTTTTTTTTCTGCTACTGATGCGGTTTTGGAGTGGTGGTGGGGGTCCGGAGCCGAAGGCCAAGAAGGAATTCTTGAGATGTCTTTGGTGCAAAAAAGTAAATCACTTATTAAAGCACCAGGACAGGGTCCGTGGGCAGGAAGAGCCACTCCGGGATTGTGAGGAATGACTGATTATATACTTGAAGGCAAAGGGAAGTTTCCAGAATGATTTTCATATGCTAGAGAAGTCCAGCTGAGGTGATTTCTCCATCTAGCAGAGCACTAACACTAAGACAGTGGGGGCTCCTGGAGAAATGTTATACTGTGCCCGCAGCCAGGATCTGCCAGTGGGCTGCTGGTTGTAAGGATGTTTACTCTTACCTACCATTTCCTCCTGCCTTTGCTTCCCACGTCACCAGCACTGGAGTAAATACATCGCATCACAACTCCATCCCCAGCCTCTCACTAGGAACCATCAAGTCCCACATTTTCAGTTCTTCACAGGACACACACACACACACACACATACACACTTCTTGTCACACCCTCACATTTTAAGTATCTAAAGTTGACCTGATTCACTCACCCCACTTTGGACACTGCTTACCCACCTGCTCACTTCCCTGACTGCTGGACAGCAACCAAATCTCCAGACACTTGGCTGGCAAATTGGAGCAGATTGGAGGCTTGGAATAGATCATACTGAGTTGTAGTTGTAGGCCTTGCGGAACTACCTTGAGAAACATTTCCCCCGGTTCCCCCTCTCTCCTCTAGCATGGGGGGAGGGCTAGGTTTATCCCGCCCTGAAATGTAACGTACGCTGTGTCTTCTATACCATGAGGAAGTCCTCCAAGGCAAAGACTTTATGGTCGTATGCTTTCTTTTTCTTTCTGTTCTCTTTTGGGAGTGACCTTAATCCATTTATTAGCAATTAACTTGCTAGTCAGTGAGAAGTACACGCAAATGGCTCTGTCCTGATTTCTATTTTTATGGCCAGGAGCTTGGTTTTCCTGTCTTGAAAAGAAAAGGATAGTAGAGACCATAAACCAAATGCGCTTACTGCTAGCTCATCAGGCTTCATGCGGAATCTGGTTTGACACGCATCCCAACCAGTCAGGGCCCAGGAAGGGCCATGTCTTGTTCTCTCAGCAACTTTCCCCCTGATTTCTCTTGCTGGTGCTGCCTCTAGTGAATGCATATCCCATCCCTTGGGGTTGGCAGAGAAAAGCCTCCTGCCTTTGACCTATCCTTTCTCCCTCGGCCCCAGCCAACCCCATGGCCATACTTTCTCCCTTATGCCCTTTTGCTGTCTACTCGCAACACTCCTCCTTTTCTGGTGAGGCGTATCAGTTCCTCTGTCTTAATTCTGCTCTGTGTTGTTCTCTGTTGGGGGGTTTGAGCCCGTGGGTCTGGTAGGGAGAGAAGGGTAATTAATTAAAAAAGGCCTTCATGGTGGTCTGAGCCCAAGGTAAGAGGTCTAAAAACAAAACAAAACAAAAACAAACAAACAACAACAACCCCCCCCAACTTTCACACTTTCCAAATTAGTTGTTCCATAGACATTTCCTATGTGATATTTTGCTAAAAGAGCATCATCTCCTTCTGTCGTCCAGCAGGATGACTCCCGGAGGAGGAATGAGTGGGAAGGAAAAGGCATCCTGTTCCGTTGTTGAAGGCGTCAGTCAAGACGGCTAAACTAGCACAGGCTTATGAGCGCATGTGCACACACACACACACACACACTCACACACACACACACACACACTCTTTATCTGTGACATTTTACCAAATTAATAGAGGCACATCTTACTAAAAAAAAGAAGGGAGGGAGCGCTTTTTGCCTATAGCATTCTCCCTAGAAAACATTCCACAAATAAGCAAAGCAAAACTAACAGGTAGAAATGGTGTAACAAGGACTATGCTCAGGCTCAGTTCTGGAGATGTCAGAAAGGAACAGTCTCGGGACTTGACATTTTTTCAGCAGCGGGGAATCAGTAGCAGCCTCAAAGTGATCATTCACTAGTGCTTAAGAGCAGAGACGGCTGAAAAATCTGGTGTAGCTTGAGTGGAATTTTTTTGCCTTATTTTTAGAGAGAGAGTGCATGTGTGGGGTGGAGGTGCAGAAGGAGGGGGAGAGAAAACCTTAAGCAGGCTCCCTGCTGGGTGTGGAGGGATCTGCGGGGCTTGATCTCATGACTGTGAATTTAACTGAGGACATGCCACAGGCACATGGGAGACTATAAAAAATTTCCATTCAAGGCGCCTGGACGGCTCAGTCAGTGAAGCATCCGACTCTTGATTTCAGTTCAGCTCCTGAGCTCACAGTCGTGAGATTGTTGTTTGTTTGAGGGGTCAGCTTGCAGTTTGGGTCACAGAAAATTTTAAAAAAGACCGCTTCTGGGGACTGAAACCTTTGAAATTTTGCTATATATGGAGAGATTTTATTTGGCTTAAGCTCCATTTCTACTTTTTTTTTTTTTTTTTTTTTACAAATAGTTTATTGTCAAATTAGTTTCCTAGCTCCATTTCTACTTAAAATAACCCTGTAGTAGCTGTAGAGAAGGTAAACCTTTAATATTTGATGTTTGTCTGGAGCATATAGTTAGTTTTCAAAAAGACATTGGCTTTTAAAATATTCACTAGTTTCACCTCTAGGTTTTTAGCTATTTGTGGCTCAGCTGCAGTTAAGTGTGATCTTTTCACTTCTCCAAACTGAAGTCTGCTGACCTTATGCTCGGGGGCTCTGTCCTGAATTGGAGGTAGTTCTAGAAGATGCTACAGGGCAAAAGTGGACTGTTTGAGCCAAAGAGAAGGGATGGTCTCTACAGATAGCTTCTTACCTCTCTGCTCTATGAAGATTTAATTTTTGGAATTTTATTACAGAAGCTGAAAAGACAATCCACTAAGTACAAAGCAGACAAAATCTATCCTACAACTGTGGCTGAGAGACCCAAGAATATCAAGAAAAACAGATATAAAGATATCTTGCCCTGTAAGTTTTTGTTTCTCCCTATGAATTTGTACCTTCACCCCAATTCAATCATTGCTATTGCTTTTTACCCATTGCCTGCTGTTCCTAATCCTGGGACAATGCTTTGACAAATTAGTTTGTACTATATTCAACCATCAAAGAGCATGCACTCACTGACTCACCCATCCAACACTTTTGAGCATCCACGATTCACAGGGCTAGTTCCTGACTTACAGTAAACCCTCTGATCAAGCCCTTTTGGTTTCTACTATGTCTGTCTTTTGTATTATAGATGATCATAGCCTCGTAGAGCTGTCCCTGATAACCTCGGATGAAGATTCCAACTACATCAATGCCAGCTTCATTAAGGTACAGCCCGTATTCTGTGGTTCTCTAGATATCTAAAAAAGGGTGGGGATACTAGACCATATTTCTTTAGGTACCTAAAAAAGCGGTGGAGGCAATACTAAACAAGAAGAAAAGGATATTCTCTGTAGCCATCCCATATAATTTCTGTTCCCCTTTAGGGAGTTTATGGACCCAAAGCTTATATAGCCACCCAGGGACCTTTGTCTACAACTCTCCTGGACTTCTGGAGGATGATTTGGGAATACAGTGTCCTGGTAAGGGCAGAAATGCTTTTGTTACTATATTCTCTAGCTTTTAGAGATGGAGGGAGGAGGATATCAGGGTATGTGACTGAGGTTTCCTTTGTATTAAAATCAGTGACTTTTTGGGTCAGTCGCTAGATTTTGGGTGTTCAGGTACATTTTTGCCAAAAATCACAATGTCACCTTTATTCAAGGAAATGAAAGTTCTCATCTTGACAGGCTCATTTGTTAACAAGAATTTACCAATTTGAATAGAGAAAAGGGAAGTAAGGACAGACAGAAGAGTAGGGGCCACCTTTTAAAAATGTATCAAGATTTCTTTTTTCTTTCTTTGTTCAGCAACAAAGACAGAAAAATCAGTGACTCTGGGACCCATGGGTTAACGGCCTTTTCTAACCATATCGATGCTCAGGTTTCTATCTATTTCAATCCCACAGATCATTGTTATGGCGTGCATGGAGTTTGAGATGGGGAAGGTGAGTGAAAGATAAAGGAAAGAGAAGGGGGAAACTTGGTAGCAGATCTTTCCTTAAGTGTGCCTATGTGAGAATTATTCTGGGACGCCTGGGTGGCTCCGTCAGTTATGTGTCTGACCTGGGCTCAGGTCATGATCTCACGGTCCGTGAGTTCGAGCCCCACATCGGGCTCTGTGCTCACAGCTCAGAGCCTGGAGCCTGCTTCAGATTCTGTGTCTCCCCCGCTCTCTGCCCCTGCCCCACTCACACTCTTTCTCTCTCTCTCTCTCAAAAATAAATAAACATTAAAAAAAATTATTCTCATCTTCCTAGCTTTCAGTTTGGGAATGCCAAATGACCCACAAGTCTTTTTTTTTTTTTTTTTACCTCTAAGAACTCCTTTTGTCCGTTTGCCCAGTAGGCTTTATGTTTTTAAGTAAAAAAAGATATGCTTTTAAAGTAACAATTCATTTTCCCATTTTTCTTAATCAGGCATCTTTAACTGGCACTTCTAACTCTGTGCTGTCCAACATGACATCCATTAGCAACATGTGGCTATCGAGCAGTTGAAACAAAACTAGTGTACCCAAGGAAATATTTAATTTAATTTAATTTAATTATTTTATTAAGTTTAAATAAAAAAACTCTCAGTTTTCCAATTCAGTAATTGGAGAACTTTAAGCATGATTTGAACCACTTAGGTACAAGGATCTTTTTCAACTATAAATTTTATGAACTTTCAACTATAAATTTTGTGAACTTTAAATGAAAGTAAAATGTTCTGATGAAAATTGAGTGTATTAACTGAGATGTACTGTAAATATAAAATGCACACTGGAGTCTGAAGACTGAGCTAAGAAATGTCAAATATCTACTGTCTGTTTTATCTGGGTAACGTGTTTTGATTGGACTAAGATGTATTATTAAAATCAGTTTCATATTTTGATTTTTTAATGTGGCTATTAGAAAACGTAAAATTGCGTGTGAAGCTCCCATTATGTTTCCACTGGATAGCACTTATCTTACCTACTGTTGACATTCATAATTCCGTTAAATCCAAGGAATTTGATGTTCCACTTAGCTTGTGCGGCTTTGTTTTAGCAGACATGATTTCTGTTAACCCTTTTGAAATATGTAGTCCCTCCTTATTCTCGTGGGATACTCTCCAGGAGCCCCTGGGAGTGCCTGACACCACAGATGGTACCAAACTCTACATCCACTTTGTGTTTTCCTGTACGTACATACCAATGGTAAAGGTTTATTTGTAAATTAGGCACGGTAGGAGATTAACAACAACAATAGTAAAATAGAACAGTTGTGACAATACACTATAACTTAGTGAATGCGGTCTCTTTCTTTCTCAAAACATCTTACTATACCATACTCACCCTTCTTCTGATGGTGATGTGAGATGATCAGATACCTGCACAAAGGGAATGACGAAGGTGCTGTGACGTAGGGTTAAGGCTACTACAATATATAGTATCGCCAGCAATATGTCCCAGGCTGTAGGTACCTGAAAGACCGTGGGCAACTGAAGCCATGGAAAGCAAAGCCGTGGACGAGGCGGGGCTACTGTACTGAAAATGTCTGATCCCTATTACTACTTTTTCAGACTTCTCCGAAGTCTGCAATATACAGAACCTGTAGTGTCTTCCCCATCCTTGAAGATTCCAGACCACCATGACATTGGGGCTGAAGCCCAAGGGGGTAGGACGTTGTTAACCTGAGGTGAAGGACACAGAAGCTGAATTTGCTTCTCAATGAGAGGGTGGGTTTTGTTACCCTGGAGAGACTAGGATATATGGACAGAAATCATTATGTTCTGCTTTGTGTGACAGAAAAAGTGTGAGCGCTACTGGACAGAGCCGGGAGAGCTACCACTGCAAGTTGGCCCTTTCTCCATATCCTGTGTGAGTATGAGGGCTGCTTCCACTGTGGTTGAGCAAATGCTCCAGGATCTACTTTATAGAGACTAGTTTTTGAATATTAGTCTCTGACGTAACTAATATTTTAATTTACTTCTTAGGAAGCTGAAAATAGAAAATCTGATTATATAATCAGGACTCTAAAAGCCAAGCTCAATAGTGTAAGTATAGAACAGGAGTGGTAAACTCAAGAGCCTACAGAGGTAAAAACATATGTGGGGCGCTTGCGGTGGCTCAGTCAATTAAGTGTCTGATTTCGGCTCCGGTCATGATTTCACGGTTCGTGGGTTTGAGCCCTGTGTTGGGCTCTCTGCTGACAGCTTGGAGCCTGGAGCCTGCTTTGGATTCTGTTTCTCCCTCTCTCTCTGCCCCTTCCCTGCTCATGCTCTGCCTCTCTCTCTCTCAAAAATAAAATATTAAAATAAATTTTAAAAAACCATACGTATGTGACTCGGGCTGGGCATAAGACAATGAGGAGTGGTTGGGCCTTTGATGTTCTAGATAAATCTTCAGATGCAAAAGAGACCTTTTATGTAATCTCTGCTCTCCAATCTACTACACACAATGGTACACATATAAAATGATAATATCTGTAGGATGAATAGAGGCTTTGCAGTGAATAGAGACTGGGAATTGAGAGCCCACGCTGCCCAGTCTCTCTAAGGCAAAGGGATTTAATATACCAGCAAGCCTGTGAGCCACTTGGAGCACACCAGTTGGAAAGCTCTGGTATGGACTAGCTCCTCTTGTGAGTGGGGTAGAGAGGGACACACCAAAGGTCAGTGACCTAAAAACACTTTTTAAAAAAATTATAGTTTATTGTCAAGTTGGTTTCCATATAACACCCAGTGCTCATCCCCACAAGTGCCCTCTTCCATGCCCATCACCCCCCTCCCCCTCTCCCCTACCCCTATCAGGCCTCAGTTTGTTCTCAGCATTCAAGAGTCTCTTGTGGTTTGTCTCCTTAACTACATTTTCTCCTCCCCCTCCCCTATGGTCCTCTGTTAAGTTTCTCCTGTTCCACATGTGAGTGCAAACATATGGTATCTGTCCTTCTCTGCCTGACTTATTTCGCTCAGCATAACATGCTCAAGTTCCATCCACGTTGCTACACTTGGCCAGATTTCATTCTTTCTCATGGCCATGGAGTATTCCATTGTATAGATGAACCACATCTTCTTGATCCATCCTGGAAAACACTTGTAGTTGTTCTCAGAAAGCACATGGGCACCAGGGACCTGTAGGGAGGAAGGCAGCATAAGTTGCCAATGGGACAGAGATGCTACTTAGGACGTCAGAGTAATCTTGTGTTAGAATGAGCTGGGGAATCTATCACTGAACCCTCCCCTTATTCTGGCTATTTTTTTTTTATAGGAAACCCGAACTATCTACCAGTTTCATTACAAAAATTGGCCAGACCATGATGTGCCTTCATCTATAGACCCTATTCTTGAGCTCCTCTGGGATGTGCGCTCTTACCAGGAGGATGACAGTGTTCCCATATGCATTCACTGCAGGTATGACGCTGTTCTTCGAACCTTCTACGCAGAGCAAACCAAACATTGTGGCCTGGACAGAACTCTTGCTGTAAATGAAGGGAGGCTCACTTTGTTGGAATTTAAGCTGGTGCAGGCATGTAGGATACAGGCTCCTGACCCTTGTCTCACTTTCTCCAGTTGAGTAGAAAGGAATGAAGCTGAGAAATGAGAGTGATAGGAAGAGAAAGGCCAAGAGCAGAAACAAACCATAATACATTCAATCTGAGCATTACATTATTTTCTGACAAGTTGCTTGTGAACAGTGCTGTTCAAGAGACTCTTGTGAGAAGTTTCCGAGGATCTATCCTGAGGTTGGGTGGGTGCATGTGGAAGCTGACACATTTGCTCTGGGAAGTGGTGGGGTTTAGCATGTTCCACTGCCTCTAGGTTTCTTCTTCCTCATTCTGCCGGTGACATTTCCAAGATACTGTCAACGATCCACTGTCTGCAACTGTATGTGCCACTGTGATCTTTCGTTTCAGTGCCGGTTGTGGAAGGACTGGTGTGATCTGTGCTATCGATTATACCTGGATGCTGCTGAAAGATGGGGTGAGTTCCTCTCAGCAGGTGCTTCTCATTTGCCAGCCCTGCTACATGCAGACTTGGGAATTGTTTGGTTCTCCCAAACATCTATCTCCACGACTCCTCTTTTCTAGTATATTCACTTGTAGACCCACTCTGTCAGATGATTACATTAGTCCCTAAGTTGGTGGTCCTCAAAGTGCCCTTCCCAGAGAAGCAGCATCGGCATCACCTGAGAACTTGTTAGCAATGCAAAATCTCGGCCCTACCTTGGATGGACTGAAGCAGAGACTCTGGACATGGGGCCCAGCAAGCTCTCCAGTGCTTCTGATGCTGTCGAGTTTGAGAATCACTGCCCCAAGTTACACAGCTACCCTTCCTTTATCCAAATGGCTGTGATGGACGGATTCAATCTACCCCAATCAACACTGGTGTTCCAATCTATAAATGATTTTTTAAATAAAATTTTAATGTGTTGTTTATTATTCAGAAGAGAGAGAGACAGACAGACAGAGTCCACATGGGGGAGGAGCAGAGAGAGAGGGAGACAGAATCCGAACCAGGCTCCAGGTTCTGAGCTGTCAGCACAGAGCCCGACGAGGGGCTCAAATTCATGAACCGTGAGATCATGACCTGAGCTGAAGTCAGACGCTTAACTAACTGAGCCACCCAGCTGTCCGTATAAATTAGCTTTTAAAGTCTAATAATAGGAGGTGAGAAGTCTGAAATGTGGGAGTTACACCTATCCACCAATTTCTTTTGTTTCATAAAATTCTCATATTTGCTCACCTACTGAGGCTCTGCTTTCATTATACGTTTAACGTCAGACCTTTGGTCACCCCATGTGAAATCATTCTCAAGAGTTTCTGCAGTCTTTTCTGGGGAAAAACACCAGGCTCTAAATCATGACACAGTGACGAGAAACCTCATTCATTTTAAAAATGCATTCTTTTTCTGATATGATCAGAATGTTAGGAGAACAGATACCATAGGGGTAGCAAGACCGTGAGAAATAATTTCTTCACAAAGCTAGGAACAAAGGAGTAAGATACTTTTTCCTTTTATTTGATAGATCATTCCTGAGAACTTCAGTGTTTTTAGTTTGATCCAGGAAATGCGAACACAAAGGCCTTCATTCGTTCAAACTCAGGTATGCAGCTCTTGTGAATGGATGTGAACATGTCTCTGAGTCTTGCTACGTCTCTCTGTTTAATAGTCAGGCACCCCAAAGTAGCTGACTATTAGCTAAAACACCAGCTTACTATTAAGTGCTTTAGTCCATTTACATTTCCTCGAACTCTGAATATATCAACATTTTTCCTATATCCCTTGCGTGGGTCAAATTCCTCTCACTCCTTATATTTTACTATCTGTTCAAAAAATAGGAAGAAAGCAAACAGCTTTATATTTCTTATAAGGGATGTTGAAAAAATTCAACAAGCTGTTTGACTTATTAAAAATGTAATACCTGGGTGAGGTTAACTTGATGGTTTGTAGTAGTAATTCATTTCTGAAACAATGGAAAGTCAGAGACTAGTAATTTCTACGTCAGGAAGTGGTAACAGAATCTGAGGAATGGAGTCTATATACTCATTTTTTGATTTAATGAAAAATAAAAATAAAATCAACCATAATCCTATCACCTAGAGGTAGCCAAGATTATTATTGTTTTATAGTCTCTCCTGTTCCTTATTGTATGCATACTTAAAAAAACTATAATCCTACTATATATGATTATGTATATGTGTCACAATATGTATATATTATGTATGTATCTCATATATATGATCACAATATTACATGCATCACAATACATTATATGTATATGTATTATGTGTGTACATTTGTATGTATGTATCACAGTATTTTAACCCACCTGAAATTGCTCACACTCCTTTACTCCATTAGGAGTGCTCTTCCTTGGTTTCGTCCTCTCCTCTCCCACTCAAGGTCCCCCTCCTCGATGAAACATTCCCAGCACAGATCCCTCACTCTCTACGATATTACTTTCACCCAGGTTTCTACGCCAATAATTTTACCCACATTTCTAAATAAATGGTCTCCAGCTTTAAGATGGAGTTTGGCATTACCCGTTCATTATTCACCACGCATTTATTGGTATTTATAAAGTAACAGACACTTTCACATAATTTGTTACTACTACCTTTTGCTGCTTAGAGAGCAAGACCCTAACGTGTTTAAAGCACTTACAAAGTGAACTTGCACGTACATTTGGAGGTAAAATAATTGACAGTAGCACTTTAGATATTTTCATCTAGCATTCATGAATTGGAGGGGAAAAATGAGCTATTATAATACAAGCCTTTTGTTTGGCCCACACAGGTTTTCCACTAATAGCTAGTGGAAAAAAACATTTTTTTTTTCATGTGTTGACTGTAGGTGTTTCTATATTCAGCTTGTAAGGGAAAAAGTTTCTGTGAAATGTAAGCATTGGCTGGTTTAGTGCTACCAGACTTAAAAGAAGGCTGATCCAGATAAATGTATAAAGATTCCAGGAGGCCTACATCTTAGTTGTCGAATATTACATTGTGAAACTGCATCAAGAAATACCACTATACCCCGTTTCAGAGAAAGTTAATTTCAGGTCTACTTGTAAGAGTCAGAAGACAGCCAAAACGATTTCAAGTTAGCCTTCCCATGCTGGCACTATCGACAGCTAGCTGAACAAATACTTTACCAGTCGTAGCTGCTTTTTCTGACACTACGCTAACCAGGAAATCGCACTGTAACCAGCTGGTTGCTTCCTGTCTGATTTTTCTCTGTTCTTAAAAAAAAATGGAAGAGTGTACCAACAGATGTGTTGAATGATAGACTCTGTTGTTCCTTGCTAAAATTGTACTTGAAAAAGGTTGTGCTTTATTTGTATAGAATTGTGTAAAGTGTCAGGGGAAACCCTGTTTAGGCTCTTTCAGATGAAAAGTAGATAGAAAATCAAGGGCTCGGTCAGGTATGGCAGCAGAAACCCCACCACAAACCTTGTAATTGCGGTGGTCTAATTTTCTATGGTGACATCCTTTTACAAGCACAAAGCTCCAGACTCCCTTCAGTGCTGCTCGACATTGTTGCCGTTACCTCTGCCAGGAGACCATTGTAGCAGCTTGATCCAAGTGCTCTAAACTAAGAGTCAGACCATTCAAATTCTAATCCAAGTCTGGACTTTACTTCTGAATGACCTTACACGAAGTGCGAACAGAGATAATAGGCTACCTATGTTACAGATCCATTGTGAGGGTCAAGTTTGAGAGTACATATCTATGTACCTATCAACCACCATTCTGTCTAACTTTTTCTAGAAAAGAGGAAGGTGGCTTACAAAAAAAATGCCCAATACAACTTTTAAAATGTAAGCAAGGAAAACAGAACCGGAGGGATGATGGTGGACGGAAAGATAAGTGAGAAGGTGGAGTAGAACATAAAACATGTTGGAAGACCCTTGTATATTTAGAGGAGACCAAATATTTAACTGTGTGTAGCAGCCTACAAGTGCTTTGCAGTCTGAAATGGGCTAAGCAAACATAAAGGCACTGCAATTGAACTGCTATTGATGGTCTTCAGATTGGCTCTACTGGGATTTGACTGAGGTGCGTACTCCCGCATCTGTATTTCACCAAGTCTTTTGTTTATTTTCTCTCGTTCCGGCATGTGATGCTCTACAGGAACAGTATGAATTGGTCTACAAGGCTGTATTAGAACTATTTAAGAGACAGATGGATGCTACTGGGGGTAAAAACTCAGGAACGGAGGTAAACATTCAACTTGATATTTTCTCTTTCCTTTTTTTTCATATTTGATTTTGGTCAAGGGATCTCAGATCAGTTGTAGGACTTACCTAATGATCTGCTGTCACAAGTAAATGGGAGTGTCAGGTGTGCATGGGGCTATGCCGCCGATCTCCTGTGGAGAAGACAAATTAATTGAAGTACTTCAATGTAGGAAATGAATCTCTTGATTCACCTGCTGTATACAATTTTCAGCGAAATTTAGAAACCATAGGAGTGAGTGACAGAACAAGTGTATATTCTCTTTCCACGTTAAATAGCTGTGTGGCGCGTTAAAAGTGAGAGTGACAACTCCAGAGTGAAATCATAGTTGAGTACTGATGTGGATTTTCAGGTTCTTCTAGCTGCATTTTGACTGCATATACCTCATCAAATTTTGTGGAGATTTTAGACTACGTAGAGGATTTTTAGCTGAAGGTCTTAGGTATCAAAACAATTATGATGTAACCAAATTTCAGTTAAGAAATAATGAGCATTCTAGGATGTGCTACTTTGATCCCATCACAAAAATTGATAAGTCAAGTACTTACTCTAAACATAGTTATAAAGTATTGGGTTCTGATCAAACTTTAAGAAGACAAAATTACTGTTTTACCTTCCAAGGCTATATTTTGTTATATATACATATTAACTTAATTTTTAATATCACATTTTGGATTCTTCGTAAAAATTTGTTTTCAACATTTATTTATTTTTGAGAGAGATAGAGACAGAGACAGAGAGAGAGCGAGAGGGGAAGGGGCACAGAGAGAGGGAGACACAGAATTGGAAGCAGGCTCCAGGCTCTGAGCTGTTTGCACAGAGGCTGATATGGGGCTTGAACCCATGAACTGTGAGATCATGGAATTAGGAATACAAAGGAATACAAAGTATAGAAGACATGATTCTGATGGTAATTCCTGTCAGTGGAATGCTGAATCACAGGGAAAGGAAAGAGCCAGAAAAACTGTTGAGGCTTGAAATGGACTAAGTAATCCTATGGTTCGTGTCAACTTCAAGGAAAAACAACATGGTGGAAGGACATGGAAATAAGAGTATAGTTTTGCCAGAAATTGTTACTTGTGTCCCATTTATGTCTACTTCATAGGCCAGTGTTCCCAGGTTAAAGGATAGAGGCGATTAGGGACAACCAAATTTTAATGGAAAAGATTTCTCATGTTTCACTATGAAGCGTGATGTCAACTTGGAGACATTTGTTTGTTTGTTTATATCTTTAATCTATGTCACCCTTCCCCCCCACCCGCCCATGTCTCCCTTCTGACAACCACCATTTCTACTCTATAGTTAAGAGTCTGTGAGTCTGTTTTTGTTTGTTTATTTTGCTTTTTTGACTAGTGAAAGGATATGGTATTTATCTTTCTCTGTCTGACTTATTTCACTTAGCACAAAATCTCTAGATCCATCCATGTTCTCACAAAAGGCAAGATTTCATTCTTTTTTGTGGCTAGTATTCCATTGTATAAAAAATATATATATTATTGCATGTAGCTGTCCAGTTTTATACATATATATGTGCACATGTATACATATACATGTATATATGTATGTGTGTGTATATATATACATACATATGTATATACACACCACTTCTTTATCTATTCAGCTATGAATGGACACTTGGGCTGCTTCCATAATTTGGCTATTGTAAATAATGCTGCAATAAACATGGGGGTGCATGTATGCCTTCAAATTTGTGTTTTTATATTCTTTGGGTAAATACCTAGTAGTGTGATTACTGGATCAAATGGTAGTTCTATTTTTAATTTTTTAAGGAAACTTCATACTGTTTTCCACAGTGGCTGCACTAATTTACATTCCCATCAACAGTGTACAAGGGCTCCGTTTTCACCACAACCTCTCCAACACATGTTGTTTCTTCTGTTTTTGATTCTAGCCATTCTGACAGGTGTGAGGTGGTATCTCACTGTGGTTTTGATTTGCATTTCCCTGATGATTAATGATGTTGAGCATCTTTCTTGTGCCTGTTGGCCATCTGCATGTCTTCTTTGGGAAAATGTGTATTCATGTCCTCTGCCCACTTTTTAATCTGATTTTTTTGTTTGCTTTTTGTGTTGAGCTGTATAAATTCTTTATATATTTTGGATATTAACCCCTTGTAGATATATCATTTACAAATACCTTCTTCCATTCAGTAGGTTGCCTTTTTATTTTGTTGATGATTTCCTTTGCTGTGCAAAAGCTTTTTATGTGAGTATCGTCTCAGTAGTTTATTTTTACTTTTGTTTCCCTTGCCTGAGGAGACATATCCATAAATATTTTGCTAAGGCCAATGTCCAAGAGATTACTGTAAGAGGTTACCTATATTTTCTTTTAGGAGCTTCATGGTTTCAAGATTCACATTTAGGTCTTTAATCCATTTTTACTTTATTTTCTTATATGGTATAGAAGAGTGGTCCAGTTAATTCTTTTGCATGTAGCTGTCCAGTTTTCCCAACACTATTTATTCCCCATTGTGTATTCTTTTTACCTTTCTCAAGCATTAGTTGGCTGTGTAAGTGTGGGTCTGTTTTGGGGCTCTCTATCTGTTCCATTGATCTATGTGTCTATTTTTGTGTTAGTACCATACTGTTTTGATGACTATAGCTTTGTAATATATTTTAAAATCTGGGATTGTGATACCTTGGCTTTGTTCTTCTTTCTCAGGATTGGATTTGACTATTTGAGGTCTTTTGTAGTTCCACACAAATTTTAGGATTATTTGTTCTAGTTCTACCAATTGCTATTGGTATTTTGACAAGGGATGCATTGAATCTGTAGATTGCTTTGGGTTGTATGAACCCACATGTTAACAGTATTAACTCTTCCAATTCATCAGCATGGTATATCTTTTCATTTGTTCTTATCATCCGCAGTTTCTTTAACTAATGTCTTATAGGTATAGGTCTTTTCCTCCTTGGTTAAATTATTCCTAGGTATTTTATTCTTTTTGGTGTAATTATAAATCTGACTGGTTTTTTAAGTGTTCAAGAGAATATTTATTCATTTCTATTTGATTAGGAAATTTTAGAGAAGGAATGTGCATATTTTTGCACTCATGGAGTGAGCACATGGATGTTCCCCTTTAACCTACTGATACAGTCATATCATTGGATTTGGTGATATCAAACCATCCCTGTACTCTTAGAATTAACCCTTCTTGAACAAAAAATATTCTTTTAATGTGTTGCTGGAGTATGTGGGCTAATATTTTGTTTAGGTTCCCACAAATGACAATACTCAAATTTAGCCTGGTAGGAGTGTCATGGCTGCAGCTGAGTTACCTGAAGTGGGCCTTTAGTCAGTAAATGGGAACATAGGAACACAGCTCAAACTCCCACAGAGGGAATTGGTTAAAGTTAACTGAAGAGGATTTCTGTTTCTGGGAAGATCAAGTAGACATACTTCCTCCCCACCTCCACCATTCCTCCCACTAGGTGCAACTGGACCAAACAATTGACATTATAAATAAAAAACTATAAGAAGGCTCTGAGTTATAGAAAGAAGACAGACCAGCTCAGGACTTTGGGACCTGAAGAAAGACATGATGATAAGTTCCTTGGGTTTTCTTTTGCCTCATTTTCCCAGACTTGGAACTGAAAGTCAACAACCCAGAAATGCCGATGGTACAGACAAAACAAACATAAAACCAAAAAGAAAACAAAACAACAAAAGCCTGCTCTGTCTAGGCAAAGAATCAGTAAACGGGCAGTGCAGCAAGATAGAAAACTTTTAGATAGTCATCATTCTACTTTAGTCAACACCACAGAAAATAATGGCCCACAACCCCACCCTTGTCAGCAAAGGCTGAGTGGGATACTAGATTTCCAATTCTTTCTTTCTTTCTTTCTTTCTTTCTTTCTTTCTTTCTTTCTTTCTTTCTTCCTTCCTTCCTTCCTTCCTTCCTTCCTTCCTTCCTTCCTTCCTTTCCTTTTTTCTTCTTTCTTTCCTTCTTTCTAAGTTTATTTGTTTATTTTGAGAGGGAGAGTGAGCACAAGCAGGTTTGGGCAGAAAGGAGAGAAAGAATCCCAAGGAGACCCACACTGTCAGTGCAGAGCCCAATGTGGGGCTCAAACTCATGAACCATGAGATCATGACCTGAACCGAGATCCAGAGTCAGATGCTTAACTGACTAAGCCACCCAGGCGCCCCCTAGATTCTCACCTTTCTAAGACTGTAGTACAGTGCTGAAGTGGTGTCAGAGAAGGTCCGGTAAAGAGTGAGGACTCTCATCCCCATTGGCTTCCATGGTTTCCTGCATTGTGAGTTGGGGTGGGGACTGAATGGGGAGCCCGAGCTTCCACCAGAGAGTAACTTGGAAATAACACGCTCCCCACTGAAGTAGTGTCGGAAGAAGCCTCGAGGAGAGTTGGAACTTCTACCATCATCCATCAGTAATGAGGCCACCCCCAGCATGGTGTCAGGGAGCCTCTCCTGGTGTGTCTCTGCTTGGGTATCAACAGAGGCTCAGTGAGGAAACTGGGGGAGGTAAATTCTTTGTGGCAATAACAAGGCAATCATGAGGCAGCACCTTTGCTTCCCCTGTCAGAATGGAGTTAAAAATAGAAGAACCCAGTTAAAAGAGGCTTAACTAAGATCCAGAGCCTCATAATGATACAGAAATGTCTAGGTTTCACTTGAAAACTATTTGTCATACCAAGAATCAGGAAGATCTCAAACCAAATGAATAAAAGACAATCAATAGTTGTCAGTACTGAGATGATAGAGATGTTAGAATTTTCTGACAAAGATTTTAGAGCAGCCACAATAAAAATGCTTCAACGAGCAATTACAAACATGCTTCAAAAGATTTTAAAAATGGAAAATCTCGGGGCGCCTGGGTTGCTCAGTCAGTTAAGCATCTGACTTTGGCTCAGGTCATGATCTCACGGTTTGTGGGTCTGAGCCCTGCATCAGGCTCTGTGCTGACAGCATGGAGCCTGGAGCCTACTTTGGATTCTGTGTCT